AAGAAATAATAATTCTGATAATTAGAGCAATAACAATAATGATTATAACGATAATAATGATAATGATAATAATAATAATAATAGTAATAATAATAATAATAATAAATAATATAATAATAATAATAATAATAATAATAATAATAATAATAATAATGATAAGTGAAAAAATAATAGCAGCAACATAATGAATAATGATAATAATACAAATCATAATAATGACAATAATGTTAATTGTTATGATAAAAATGATTTTGATAATAATAATAGTTGCTATAATGTAGGAGATAATGATAATAATAATGATAATAATGATAATGATAATAATAATAATAATAAATAATAATAATAATAATAATAATAATAATATTGATATTAATATAATAACAATAAATTAATAATAATAACAATAATAATGAATAAATAATAATAATAATAATAATAATAATAATATAATAATAATAATAATAATAATAATAATGATAATAAAAAAATAAAAGTAATAATATAATAATGTTAATAATAATAATAAGAATAACAAAAATAGTAAAAAATATGATAATAATAAGATAATAATAATGATAATAATGAATAATAATAATAATAATAATAATAATAATATAATATAAAAAAAATTAATAAAATAATAATAATAATAATAATATAATAATAATATAATAATAATAATAATAATAATAATAATAATAATAATAATAATAATAATAATAATAATAATATTATTATTATTATTAATGATATTTATAAGAATAACAACTATCATAATAATAATATCAATAATAATAATAATAATAATAACAATAATAATGATAATAATAATGATAATAATAATAATAATAATAATAATAATAATGATAATAATAATAATATGATAATGAATAATAATAATAATGATAATAATATAATAATAATAATAATAATAATAATAATAATAATAATAATAATAATAATAATAATAATAATAATAATAATAATAATAAATAATAATAATAATGATAATGATAATAATTAATAACAACAATGATAATCATAAAATAATGATAATGATAATAACAATGATAATAATAATGATAATAATATATAATAATAATAATAATAATAATAATAATAATAATAATAATAATAATAATTAATAATAATAAATAATAATAATAATAATAATAAATAATAATAATAATAATAATAATAATAAAATAATATTAATAATAATGATGATGATAATAATGATAATAACTATAGAAATAATAATAAAGATAATGATAATAATATCACAATAATAATAATAACAACAATAATAATGATCATGAAAATAATAAACAGTGAAAATGATGATAATAGTAATAATTACAGATAATGATAATGATATAATGATAATAATAATAATAATAATAATAATAATAATAATAATAATAATAATAATAATAATAATAATAATAAATAATAATATAAATAATAATAATGATAATGATATTATCCTTACCAATACTAATAATAATAATAATATTAATAATAAGAATTATAATCATAATAATAATGAATAATGATAATGATAATAATAATAATAATAATAATAATAATAATAATAATATAATATAATAATAATAATAATAATAATAATAATAAAAACAATGATCATTAAAACAATGGAATTGATAATAATAAAAACAGTGGTGACGATGATAATGATAAATGATGATGATAATAAGAGTAATAATAATAATAATAATGATAATAATAATAATAATATAATAATAATAATATAATAATAATAATAATATAATAATAATAATAATAATAATAATAATAATAATATAATGATAATAATAATGATAACAGTAGGTAAAAGAGATTATAACAGTATTAATAAAAAATAATAACAAAATGATAATAAAATTAATACCAATAAAAACAACAATAATGACGATGAAATGATGATAATATAATAATGATAATGATGATGACAATATAAATAGAAATAAAAAACAAAAACAATAATAGTAATAATAATAATAACAATTCCAATAATGTTGAAAATAATAATGAAAATGATAATAATAATATCAATTGAAATAATAATAAAAAACAATAATAGTAATAATGATAATAATGAAGATGATAATTATAATGATAATAATAATAACTATGATCACAATAATAATAATAATAATAACAATAATAATAATAATATTATTATTATTATTATTATTCATCAATTCAACAACAATAATTATTATTAAATAGTAATATAAATAACAATAATAACCAACAATGATAATAACAATAATGATAACAATAAAAAGGAAAATAACAAAAATGATAACAACAAACCATTAAGATTTATAATGAGGATAATGATAATGATAGCAAAAATAGTATTAATAACAATATTAGTAGTAGTAGTCCTTGTAGTTATTATTATTATCATCACTATTATTATTACTATTATTATTATTATTATCATTATTATTATTATTATTATTATTATTATTATCCATTATTATTACTAACATAACCTTAATTATTATTATTTATCATTATCACCATCACCATTAGTAAGATATTGTTGTTATTATTGATAATATTATCATATTATTTATATTATCATTTTTATTATCATTGTAATAATCATTATTACTGTAATCATCATAATCATCATTATCATTACTATTACTTTTATCATTATCATATGTCTGTGATTATAATAAAAGATATAAAATGAATACTACCCATAATAATAATACTATGTATATCATAATGAATATAATGACAATGATATAAAAAATGCAATGACATTAGGAGTTTCATAATAACAACAATCATAGTAGAAAGAACACAATCATATTAATCTGAAAATGATAAGATCACTTATCAAAGGCAGAAGCAATACCACTAATGGCCATAGTAATAATGCAACATCAATAACAATATCTTTATAGGATGATACCAGTAACAACTCCATTGACATTAACAGGGATGTAAGTATAAACATTTATTTTCTTGCGAACAATAAAAATGACAGAATAGAAAATGCAAGCGTGGAGACTATTGCAAGTATATTGCTTGTTCTTCTGCGTATGTTTATGAAATTTATCTTCGTCTGGCTCTTACGAAAGTCATATCCTAAAGTAAATGAAATGTTTTTTATTTTCATGGAGAACTTCAAACATGTTCTGCAATGAGGTTTGGCAATCGTGGAGTTACGGATGCAATGAGCGGATTTACAAGTCAATTCAAGCGGGATTTTCGGGGTTTGCCTTTGATAAACAATATCAAATATCTTTTCTTACTAGAGTCAGCAATGGCAAAGTTCATGACCGGAAAATCTTTCAATATTGCTACACATAAATTTGACTCAATATGAAACAACAATACATAGCATTTGCAAGCGGCAACAGAACAAGGGCATGGTTTACACATTATTATTTTTGCAGCGGTTTTATCACGAAAAGTCGTATAAAAAGAACGCTGCGAATAAACATGCAGTATGCAAATAAAGTACCAGAATGCACTTCTTCCTTTTTAATAATAAAAATCCACAGTGACTCGAATACATCAATGTCTGTTTACAACTACATCGGGGTTATGTTAACGACTTTCTACGACCAGTATCATTAGACTAAACGACGCTGGATTCGTGGTACTGTAGGAAACCGATGGTACTAAGCCGCAAACTACGGTATGGTAAGCTTGTGTGGTAAGAAGGTGCTATATACTGATGAAGATGAACGGAATAGCTATCAATATCTATAGGATTTATACATCTCATACACAGAAGTGTGAGTTGCAGACACTCAGGTATAGTAATGGAGGAGGTGCAGTGTTTAAAGCGCTAGCACCGGGCTTGCAAAGAGAGTGTGTGTGTGTGTGTGTGCGTGTGTGTGTGTGTGCGAGGCGCCTGAGTGTTTCATAGACTTTCGTTCTCATTGCAGATTGCATCGGGCACATTGAACGTTGAAGGTTTCCGGAACGGCCGCTAGATGGCAGCAGCAGCAGCCGAGTGTTAGCACGCGTTGCTGCGGTCAGATGAGTGGCAACCTGCGAGCGAGCAGCACCTGCGATCCCGTCCTTCGTAATAAACGTCACTGCAATTTATCCCTAAACTACTTTTTTCAACATTTCTCTTTAGAATTTGATACACATTTCTTTAAATTATCTTGTAAAATCATGCACACTATTAGTCCTACACATGGGGGCGTGTACACAAAAGTATTGAAGAATAACGTAGGCAAAGTTTTAATCTCTCTTTTCTCAGAACGGCACAAACACTAGAATAACAATCAATATAAGCTCCTCGTCCCGTTGCAACCTTTTGATATCGATTATGTGTCATGTGCAGCCTCGAGATAGCATGAGGAGCACAACACGACCACGATAAGATCTCGCACACTTGATAATCATGCTAACTGTCCCCTGTTAAACGGCTCTTCACAAGGTTGGTCGGTCAGGTGAGATTTTTATTGGGGCGACCAAACACTTCCCTTCTGCTTGACACACGGGCCGCGACCACTGGCGTTTATGACCTATCACACAACTCGTTTTACACTTCATAAAGGGTTCGTTTAGTACAGCCTACTTCCACCACGAGCTACATTATCAGAGTCTCTATACTTTGTCCATTTCTCAGTGGCACACCAGAGTTACGGTGAACGGTCAGTAACGTGAACTGTTTTTCTTTTTCAAAAGAATTGTGAATTTGGTTCAGAGAGATCGTACCAGGAGAGTTAGGCGATAGACACTGAAACCGGCCTCTTTCGAGAACCAGGTTCCTTTCTTTGGGCCTTGAACACAAACACTCATAGACGATGCACAACACTACAGCTTGAGTGGGGGATTTTGCAACTAGGGGTCAGGAAAGTGTCATAAAGGGATCGAGCAATATCTCTTGCTGGCTCTTAAGCACTGACGTGCAACAACTTCCTCGGACAACTGCATGCAACGAGGATCCAAGACGTTGACACTGCACATCACTTCTTTTTCCATGACAGTCATTTACACTTGTCAGACTCGGATGAATAATATACATTTTCTGCTTCACTTTCGTATTGTTTTAACACACGTTGCAACGGGTTTACGAGATGGCAGGCTTGGGCAGCACATGATAACAAGTGATCTAGCATGGGGTAAGAGCACAAACACTGGACGGCACACACATGGGGGAAACAAACTCCTTGACGAAAGCTCTTGATAAGGGTTTTCTCTTGCAGGGTGTCATGAGGAAACAGTTTCTGGGATGCTGAGAAACACTGACACAACATCAACACCAGGAGGGGAGTACCAATGGCAGTTTCTACACCAGAGTTTGAGGAGAGACTACAACTACGAGGATCTACGTAAGAAGGCTTTCAGGCAACGTGTGACCTACCTGTGATTGACATCCATGGGTACCGCGGGATGTCCGGGATGTGAGGTGTGGGAGCTGTAGGCTGACTGCAGGAGTTGAGAGGGTTAGTGGCGTTGTTCTGGTGGAAGTACTGTGCCATGTTGCTTGTGGTGGCACAGTTCTGCAGGTTGAGGCCATATTGGGACATGTCCGTGGCCCCAGTCTGGGAGTATCGACACTGCTTTTCGGCGTCTGTGGTCGCCGTCATAGCGCTGAAGGGCGACATGTTGGAGGGCGCGTTGGCAGACAGCTGATGTGAAGTGACACTCACGTAGGGGTACATACTTCTGGCTTGAGAATTGTAGTTGACCAGGTTAGCAGCGGAGTCCGCCTGGTACTTTGGCAGAATACTATCAATATAATTTGAACTCATTGTTCACATAATTCTTCCCAGTGGTAACTACTTAGTAACAACTGTGTACACACCAGCCTCGACTACCTGTGATGGCAAATGAATCCTTTTCTGAATTAGACACCAGGCACGAGAACCGCGAGCGGTAAACAAGTCTGCCCAATCAGTAGGTAAGGGAGCTCAGCGAACCAATAAGCGCTCGCCTTGGTCGGACCTTCAT